GTATTAATGATGAAATAAGTGTCAATCAATATTATACTGGAAATGAAAGTGATGAAAGCGAATATCAGGATAATAATGAAAGTGAATATCAGGATGGTAATGATAATGAACAATTTAATATATCAGATAATAGTGACGATACATTAGAAACATCGAGTGATAGTGATAATTATTGATTAATGTATATAATAGTTACAGAAAATAAAAATCATTAATTTTTATGAATTCGCGTCGTCGTGTATTTGATTGATTACTATATATGTACATATAGATCATTATTTGTATTACATGTATACTATGCACATATACGCATAGTGATGAACTATGCGCGCATTTGCCCATCTCTAAGGAGGAGCGAAGGATAAAAAAATGATATTTGAAGTGGTTGCTTTAAAAAATAACTTTATATTAATAAAATATTTAAATATTTAAATAAAAATAAAATATGATTATGCTTGTTATATTCATTAACAAGTCAATTAAAAGCTTTCTTCTTCATCCCAATTTTTTTCTTTCAGCTTTTACTATTTCTTTTTTTCTTTTCTTTCAAGATCTCATTCAATTTTACATGCAAAAATTTCTTTAATATGCGCAAACATTTATTAGTATTGGATAATTTTTTTTCTTGTAATGTGTTGTTCATCCAAAGAAGAATCATCTTCACCTGAATTAACATTTATTTTTGTATTTTTCTTTCTGGTATAGTGAATACTTTCAGAAGTATTAGTTGAAGTTGAAAAGGATGATATTATTGCAACAGGTTTAAATGTTGCTCGTTCTTCATTTAACAGATTGTCTGAAATGGAATAACCATTGCTTCGTCACCACTTTGATTTTCTGCATCTTTTCTACTCTAAAATATATAAAATAATTATATTTAATATTTATTTAAATAGCAATAATAACTATATGCCTTAATTTTTTGCGACAAGTTTATGAATTTGATAAAGCATTGTTGAGCCATATAATTGAGGTTGTATTGACAAACTAAATGTATACTACATTCTTGCTAAATTGATCCATTACCATTAATCCTTCCAAGTTCTTTTTTAAAGCATTAAGAGCTTCTTTTCGCGTATCTAAAAATGCTAAAAGTGCTTTAGTGGCACTTGTTTCCCACTTTATTACTGCTGAACGAACAGATTGTGAAGAGTTGGAACTATTGGTAACCATTATTAATGCTCAATTATTAAATTGTATTAGTTGTGAGTTGAAGCAGATTGACCATCTTCACGTGGAAGGCTAATTTCGTGTGGTATACTAATATCGAAATCTGTTTTTTATTACCAAAGAAAATAATGAATTAAAGAAATTGATGAAGATAATATCAGATGTAAAGTTTACCTTCGTTTGGGACATACAAACTGAAACTTGCAGAACCTAAATAGTTGATTTATTAATACAAAATGTAATTTTATAAAATATAAAATAAAATTTACATACCTGTTTTAGTTGGAATTGATATTGATTTTGAGGTAAAGATTCGACTGGTGTAAATTGCATTTGAGTGGATTGTTTGTCTTTTGTTTATACTCATATAAGTGTCTTTTATCCTCTGTTTTTCTAATTTAATACACTCTTTGATTTTTTCATCTGTTTGAGAACCGTAATAGTGAGAATGTAAAGAATTCAGTTTCCAATTTTTGTCATAGTAGATAGATCCAATAAAGTCTTCAAGTTCCTCAACAGTTGGTCTGTTTTCTGAAATAGGATCCCAACATTTTTCAATAATAAATTTACACCATACGGGAACTTCATTTGATATCGTAGGTCGCATTCCGTTAACGACGATGTCTATTACGAGATTATGATCGTGGCTTCGTTCATTGAATGGTCTTTCATTTGTTGCAATCTCATACATGATCATCCCAAAACTATAAATATCTGCAGCTTTACTGTATGGCTTTCGATTTAGAATCTCTGGACTCATATACGGAAGTACGCCACATATTTTATGTTTAGATTTTTTAATAAGTGCTTGGCCAGTGAGTCCAAAATCTGAAATGAAAGCAATATAATGTAATAATATGTTCCCAGGGTGAAAGTCACAATGCACAAATCCTTCATCATGGATTTTACGCAGGTCACTAATAATACTACATAATAGCTCTAAATTTTTGGACCAATTCATTTCTTCACGTTTGGAATCAAGGTATTTATGAAGATCTCCACCTATTGCATGAGTCATTACTATCGAATATTCTTCTGTAGTTGGGTTTTTAGTAATTCCATGATATTTTATTCCATATGACCCACGTGATATAGAGCACTTTAAAGCAATCTGAATCTATTTTTTTTAAAGATTTATTTATATTAAAAAAAGCTTATATGTTAAAATGGTTCATTTTTTTTACCTCATTAGTAAATTCTATTGTGATTTGCTTTAAAACATGAAATGATTTCAGCACAACTTCCAATTCTCCATAACGTATCCATTTATCTTTTTCATGATCCCATCCTACTAATGGTCCATCCAACCAGGTTGCTTTATAAATTTTCCAAAACCTCCTTTTGCAAGAAATTCAACATTGGTGAATCTTTCAGAAGGAATCCATTCGAAGGATCATGCATTTTTCTATCAGATAGTCGACATCTTTTTTCCCACTTTTAACTTTATAAAATTGATAATGATAATCTAAACATTCTTCACAGTAATTATTCTTCTGACACAAAGCGCATTCATGGCAGTGAAGAATTTTTACATACATATAATTATGGCGATCAAAATTTTTTGCATAATCCATAACTACCAAACATTCATTAGTAACTGGATTTTTAGTTATTCCGCAACATTTAAGAGCAGTTTGAATCTATTTTTAAAAAATTTAATTGCATTAAAAAAAGCAACTTTCACTTTAGAAATATTCATTTTTACCTCGTATATAAATTTTGGATTTGAACCATGTAGTGATTTCAACGCAACTTCCCATTCACCTCTTCGTTTAAATTTGTTTTCTTCATGATTCCATTTGGGATAATCATAACGATTATAATCCAATGGTCCATCTAACCAGTTTGCTTTATAAATTGAACCAAAACCTCCTTTTTCAAGATATTCAATGTTGGTAAATCTTTCAAAAGGAATCCATTCGAATATATTTTTATAATTATAATTAATTTTGTTGCATTCTTTTATTAGATTGTCGATATCTTTATCTCCGCTAGACAATTCATCGTTATAAATTTGTTTGTGATATTTGAAACAGTTAACACAGAGCAAATTGGTTTGGCATAGAGCACATTTACTACAATCATGAGTATTGTGAACTAAACACTCATCGCAGTATCTGTTCTTTTGACATATAATACATTTATTACAATGACTAATACTCGCTCCCATCTTTGAGTTCAGTGGAATAAATTGGTGAATTGGTTGAAATGATAGCGATAGTGAAACAAACAATAATCGTTGGTTATTATTATGTATGAAATTCTCTGTGTGACAAACTCGTGTGTGTGAATACATGTATATCGATATGGTTTCCCATTTAGTGCCCCACAAATTTCTTGGTTAGATTTTCCTTGTGAATGTTTCCAAGATCACCGATTATATCAATTAAATAGACTAATTTTTAATTCCAAGTAAATTTTTCGTAGTTGGAATTACATGTAATATCGATATATTTACGGAGATCACCATCTTCTGCATAAACAGCATAAACAATAAGTCATTACTATTGAACATTCATTCGTAGCTGAATTTTTAGCTTTTTAGCTATTTCATAATGTTTAATATGATAACATTTATTTCTGAATCTATTTTTGAAAATTTGATTGAGCAAAAGCAATTTCGAAAATGTCCATCTTTTGCCTCGTTTATAACTCTGGAGTAATTTGTTTTGAATTGTATAATGGTTTTCAATAGAACTTCGAATTATCCTCTTCTGTAAGTTTATTTTCTTCATGATTCCAATACTTTTTTACTGGTCCATCCGACCATGTTGCTTTATAACACAAACCCTCATTTTGCAAGGCATTCTACGTTGGTAAATCTTTCAAAAGGAATCCATTCGAATAATTCCTCATCTTCAATTTTGTTGCATTCTTTTATTAGATTATCAATATCTTTATCTCCGTTAGATAATTCATCAATTCGTTTGTGACATTTGAAGCAATTGACTCAGTAATTCATTTTTTGACATTTAGTGCATTTACTACAATCATGTAATTCCATCACTATCAAATATTCATTTGTAACTGGTTTTGAGTTATTCCGTTATCAATAATATCATGATAGCAGCCTGAATTTATTTTAAAAAATTGAATCTATCAGAAAATAAAAGTAAATTTCATTTTAGAAATGTTCATTTTTATCTCGCTCGTGTATCCACTCTGAAGTAATATGTGTAATGATTACAACAAAAATTTTCTTCATGTCGTTTCCATTTATTTTCTTCATGATTCCATTTGGAATATTCAACGTTATTATAATACAATGGTCCAGGTTGCTTTATAAATTAACCCAAAAATCTCCTTTCATAAGATATACAACGTTGGTAAATCTTTCAAAAGGAATCCATTCGAGTATATTTGGATGTTTATTAGATTGTCGATATCTTTTGTAACAGTCAATGCAGAACCAATTTTTTTGACACGAAGTACATTTACTACAATCATGAGTATTGTGAACTAAACAGTCACCGCAGTATCTACTCTTTCGACAATCGTTACATTCATTACAATCATGAATATCTGATTCAGCATAAGTCATTACTACCAAGTAATCGTTTTTAATGGATTTCTAGTCCTTCCATAATATCCTATCAAGTTGCCATAATCATAGAATTTAAGCCCGTTTGAATCTATTTTTGCCAATTTGATTTTATTAGAAAATAAAAAACATCTTTCACTTTAGAAATGTATATTTTTTTACCTCTGTATAAACTCTAGCGTAATTTGCTTTGAATTGTGTACGCAACATTTCTTTCTCCCCGTTTAAATTTATTTTCTTCATGATCCCAGTATTATTTGAGCGAATTCTCCGAATAAACTAAGTTGGCTCTTATTTTTATTGTGCTTAACAAGGCAAACAATTTTAGCATATAAGAGTAAAGCAGGGTTATTATATTACCAATTCTATGAAATGGTCCATCCAACCAGATTGCTTTATAAATAGTTCCAAAACCTCCTTCTGTAAGATATTCAACGTTGATAAATCTTCTAAAGCAATCCGTTCGAATAAATTTTTATATTTATAATTTATTTTGTTGCATTCTTTTATTAGATTATCGATATCTTTCTCTCCGCTAGACAATTCATCACTATAAATTCGTTCGTGATATTTGAAACAATCATCGCACCACCTGTTTTTTTGACAAAGAATATATTTACTACAATCATGAGTATTGTGAACTAAACATTCATCGCAGTATCTATTTTTTGACAATTGTCACATTCATTGCAATGATGAGTATTTGATCCATCTTTAACTTCACTGGAATAAAATGGGTAAATTGATTAAAATGAAAGTAAAACAGCGATAAACGTTGTCGTTAGTTACGGGATCCATGTACCCCAAAAAATCCTTCGATTTATGCGTGCAACCATTTTTTTAAAAAATCGATTTATCAAGTGTATAAAAAAATGATAATAATACAATGTAAAAATAGAAATAATCTATCTTAACGTGGTTTGAGATTTAGAAACTTTTTTTATTTATAATTATTCTTATTCTTATTTTAGTTTATAGGAGTAAAATAAAGTGTCCAAATAATGATAATAACTCCAAATAAAATAATTTTACAAAGGGAACAATACACAAGCATTAACTTCAGAATATAATATATTATTGACTGATAATAGATTTAAATAATTTTTATTTTCAACAAAAATAAATTGAAAAATATATTTTTTTATTATTTTTATTTTCTTTTTTATATATATTTTATTTATTTACATCTAGAATCAAATTCATTGAATTTTATTAGCCTTTTCAAATAAAATTCTTAAAATATTTAACCAAACCGGGGTGATGTTATCTGCTTGTTTGATTTATAATTACAAAAAAATTATTATAAAGGTTTTTTGCAAATTTTGAATAGCAAACTATAATTATTTTGACATAGTATCAAGCTTTTGCAAAAAAAATTTATTATATTTATTAAATTTGTCATAATTATATTTTTAAATTAATAAATATTTTTTGAAATTCTTGACAAATATAATTTCTAGTTATATTATTTTATCTGCAATTTATTAATAAATAGCTTTTATTTTATAATGCTAAGAGATATTATTGATTTTTTTCTTTTATTAATTTTATATAATATTTCATCAATTTGTAAAAAATATTTTAATTGATTTTGTATTCTTTATTATTATTCAATAGTTAATCCTATAGGATATATTTTATTATTTAAAAATTATTATTAGTTATTAATCTAATATAAAGAATCAAAATACTAATACCTTATTCTGAATATATTTGTAAGACTATTAAAAAATATTGCTCTTCTTAATAATAATATGAATTTAATAAGTAATAATAAAGATATATTCTATTAGAGATACAATTCATCTATTTAATCTAGCAAAATAACTTTGTTGATTTTTAAATAATTATCTTAGAGCATTATAATAAGTAATTATTTGAATACTTTTTCAAGTAAATAATGATAAAATATCTAACAGCCTATATAACTACTAATATTTCTTTTTCAGTAACTCTATACTTTTATTTATTTGGTTTTAAAATGATACTTGTATAAGTAACTACTTGTTCTTTTTCATTTTTATCTTTTTAAGATAATACAGCTCCAAGTTCTGAGTTAGAAATATTAGTATAAAAATAGAATTTCTTTGTAAAATCAGAATAAATTAAAATAGATGGATTTTTGAAGGATAATAGAAGATTGTAATGATAGAGACAAATAAAGCGTGTGATAGTAAACTCAAAGAATGTACACGATGATCTTCAAGAGATAATAAAAATAGTAATTGTGATAACGAGTTATTGCATCATTCTAACAATAAAAGGGCGCTTGCATGAGATTGTAAAGGATACTAACACACGACGCGTACTTAATGATTCTCACGACAGTTATAATTGTTTGATTATCGATCGTTACGATATTTTATAATTATTTTGGTGAAGATATTCGTCAATTAATCATTCTTATGATTGTTGAATAACGATAACAATAACATGTAATATTAACCGCCTATTCCTTGAATAACGATAAGAATTGTGGAATTACGGATTTATGCTTTTGCCATGTTGCTGTACATTATTGCTTTTTTTGAATTCTTTATACAGCTTGTATAAACAGGTTTTCGATTATTTGATATACATGTAAAACGTATTTATCTGGCAAGATTTATTTTTACTACTACTGTTAATAAATACAAACAAATGGATTTGTCTTCAACATCTTCCACAGCAGCCGGGAATTCAATTGATAATACGGTTGCAACAGTTATCGAAAATAATAAAGAACCTTCGTTAAAAACTATTTATTCTAACTATCAAGAAGATTCCGATTCAAATTCACGAACCAGTTTGTACATTGGCAGTGAAAATTCAATTCGTATCAATAAATCGGTTAGTAAAGAAAAAATAAAAATAAAAAAATATGAAATATGATATAGAAAACACAATATTTGATAACGACATTAAATCATGCCTCGAAAGATTAATGGCAATCCTTCGTAACTTGCTCAATTCTGAAAAAAATCTAGATAATATAGCTAAAAATTTAAGAACGAAGATTGAAAAACAAAAAGAATTTTCTAGTGATAATGAGCGATTTTTAAAATTTTTAAAGTGAATAGTCAATTCACATTGCTTTTGGGATTTTTTTATCACTACGGAATAAAAGTAGAAAAAAATTTTCAATTGGCTTATGAAAATTACGAACTTTCAGCAAAACAAAAAGACAAATTGGCACAATATATACTTGGTTATTGTTATTATAAATGGAATAGGAACACAAAAAGACAAAGAAAAGGCATTCGGATGGTATTTGAAATCTGCAGGAAATGGACATACAGAAGGACAATTTTATCTCGGTTATTTTTATCAAAATGGAATAGGTGCACAAAAAGATAAAGAAAAAGCATTCGAATGGTATTTGAAATCTGCAGAAAATGGACATACAGAAGGACAATTTTATCTCGGTTATTTCTATCAAAATGGAATAGGTACAAAAAAAGATAAAGGAAAAGCATTCGAATGGTATTTGAAATCAGCAGAAAATGGACATGCAGAAGGACAATTTTACCTCGGTTATTTTTATCAAAATGGAATAGGTACACAAAAGGCTAAAGAAAAAGCATTCGAATGGTATTTGAAATCTGCAGGAAATGGACATACAGAAGGACAATTTTATCTTGGTTATTTTTATCAAAATGGAATAGGTACACAAAAAGATAAAGAAAAAGCATTTGAATGGTATTTAAAATCTGCAAAAAATGGACATGCAAAAGGACAATTTTATCTCAGTTATTTCTATCAAAAGGGAATAGGTAAAAAAAGCATTCGAATGGTATTTGAAATCAGCAAGAAATGGGCATACAGAAGGACAAGTTTTTCTCAGTTATTTTTATCAAAATGGAATAGGTACACAAAAAGATGAAGAAAAAGCGTTTGAGTGGTATTTGAAATCAGCAGAAAATGGAAATGTATCCAGACAATCCAAACTCGGTTTTCGCTATCTAATTGGAATAGGTACACAAAAAGATGAAGAAAAAGCATTCGAATGGTATTTGAAATCAGCAGAAAATGGAAGTACCTCAGCACTATTGATTCTCAGTTATTGCTATGAATGCGGAACAGGCATACGAAAAGACGAAAAAAATGCATTTGAATGCTATTTAAAATTAGCAAAAAAAGAAAGTTCTGAACATGTCAACTATATTTATGATAAAGGATATGAGATATTAAGAGATATAAATAGAACCTTCAAATTTTTTCAAAAATTAGCGGAATCTGGCAAAATTCCAGCTTATAATCACCTTGCAAAATGTTTTTTTTATGGGAACGGTACAGTTGAGAATGAGTACAAGGCATTTGAAATGTACTTAAGATCTGCCGAATTGGGAGACAAACACGGTCAGTTTAAGTTGGCTGAATGCTATCAATACGGATTCGGGATTGAAAAAATTCTGAAATGGCTTTAAAATGGTACAACATAGCTCGAGAAAATGGCCATGATATAGCAGGAGAGATGATAGAGACATTTAATTTTGAGCACCATTATGCGGTTTAATATATCTTTTATTCTGTAAACAGGCAAATTTACCTGTCAATTAATAACTTTTATTATATTATTAAATTTTATAAGTAAAAGCTCCTCTAATACATAGTATTGCAGGTTCAGCATAGAGTTCATTTCTATATCATATAATAAAAATAAAATCTCCAATTTTTAAACTTTTAAAGAATAGCTTTGAAAGTAATTAAAAAATCAACAAAATTACTAAAGTTTAAAAGATGAATTTATAATATTTCATAATTTAAAATACATCAATTATTCGAAATTGAATATATTTTTTAAATTTAAAGAACAAAACTTGATGAGCTTTTTTAATAATAATTATTATTATTCAATAAATTTAAATAATATATTGTAAAACATTATAAAAATAAATATATTACTAATTATAAATAATCTATTAGATAATTTATATTAAAAATGATTTATAAATTAATAAGTATATAAAGTTAAAAAACAATAATACAAAAGAAAATAAGAAATATCGTTATTAGCTAAATAAAATACTATTAAATTAAAGATTTATACTAGTAAAAATTATATTTTTTTTATGTTTTCAGGATTGATAAATATAAAGTTTAACAATTTTCAAACATTAAATTATGAAAGAGTTTTTGACTTATTAAAGATAGCTTTTTAGAATATTTTAATAATATCTCAAAGAGAATAAATTTGTTTTACATAATAGTAAATATATATAATATTTCATGTAATACTTTATTTAATTATTTATAAAATATATACCATTTTAAATTTTTAAAATTTGTAATTTTGCTTTTATATAAAAATCAAGTTATATATTTTTTTATGATATTCTAATAATATTATAACAATTATTTAGAGTATATTAAAATTATTATCAGAATTTAATATTATTTGACAGTCAATATATTTAGAGTATTTTCTAAAATATTATTAAAATATATAAAGTATTATAAAAAAATATTATAGTATTGAAATAATATGAATTTATTTTTAATATAAACTACTTGAATAATCTAAATTTATATAAAAAATCTATTATAAATAATTTAAATATTAAATAATTATAATTCTTTAAACTTGTATTTGACTTTAATTCTGATTTTAATTTCTTATATTAGTTTTATTTTTTAAAATTATTTTAATAAAATAAATTTTAATATAATTATTATAATTATTAAAAAAATAAAGAGTAATAATAAATAATTCTTATTCTAAATTTCCTGTAGTGTGAAGTTGAACCGTATATGTGCCTTTTTTCTATTGTCAAATTACCATTCATATCAAAAAATTTGGAGTTTAATCCATATTTGTTGATTTTAAAATTGTATGTTTTTAATAAATGTATTAAATTAATTCTAATTTTGAAGAAAGTTCTCTAGGTAATTTTTGTCTAATTTTTGTTTTTTAATGAATAGAAAGATTATAACAATTCATAAAACTATAGAGCTATTTATAAGATGCTGTGAAGATAATTTTAGCATTAGGATATTATTGTGAGTATTCATTATTAAGGAGAGATTTTATTTTTTGTTAAACTATATATGTTGTAATAGCAATTCCATCTTGACATAAAATTTCAATCTATTTATTTAATTCTTCTTCAACATCTGGATATAAAGGTTTTAAACCAGCACCAATATGGTGATTTTTAGATTTAGCTTTTGATATAGCTGATTCATTTTTACACCATTTGATATTTGTGCAAAATTAATTCCATATTTTTGTTGAGCATTTTGTAAAGAATTTTATTTACAATAAGCAATAATGCGAAGTTTTTCTCTGACAGTATATGAAGTACGAAGGATTTTTGCCATAATAGAAAATATGATACGAAAAATACCATTTTTATCTTTTTTTTATTACTTAAATTTTTTTTAATGATGATATTTTTTTTAATTTTTAATAATAGCGACTTTCTTAAATTTTTTATCGTTTTTTTAACAATAACGATAACTATAATTTAAATATCATTGTACATGTAAAAGTTTGGCACTATTTTTTTAAGGTTCAAGAAAATAGGGTAAAAAACCAATACGGGGATGTTGCTTATATTCCGCCAAATACGGTAAACGATGCTGCTATATCTTTTTCCACATTTTTTGTTAATTATGTTTACTGTAAATTATCTGGGTTCTGGAAGGTATTGATAAAGATCCTGAATTATTAATTTTTTCGAAAATAAATTTTCCCACTGATGAATTATACATACCGGCCTAGTATTTTTGTGTTACATGTATTACATGCAAGAAATTTACTTAGGAAATCTTTTTATTGTGTACGTTAATCCGAAGATGGATAATCCATATTAAATTGTACCGTTTAATTCGAAGTCACGAAAACCAATCAGATCACACAAATCACATAAGACCAATTAAATTAAACTACCAATAACTGTTGCTTACTGCCGAGAATTAACGGATTTCGATAGGCAAGTGCCGCAGAGTATGTATAAGAGCAAGACCGAATGTTTTACAATTAAAGGGTTTCTTTATAGATCTAAAGGTTCCCTGTGATTATTTGTTAAATCAGCCCTTTTCAATTTTTATTATTTTATTTAGATAAAGCACTAAGGAAGGTTTCTGATAATCAGCAACAAAATGGGAGTCTACACTAGACTACAAGGGATTTCGAGAAGGTTTCTATTACCTACAATAAAACAATGCGTTATACAAAGATTACTTTGGAAGCAATAATACAGATGGTTTCAGCTAACCAAAAACTATAGTACGCAAAATTAAAGGTTGGACTTAGCTTCTGCCACCAAAATCAAAGTCAAATTATGGAAGATTTTGAGTGAAGGTCGTTCATTACTTGTACGCAATATTTGAAGATAATCAAAAAAAATTAAAGAAAAATAATTTATCGACAAGTAAAGGAGTTTTACAGTGAGAAGATTATTTTTTTATTCTTTTGATTAAAGCATGATGTTTAAAGGCTTAACATCTCACTTTTTACATCTCACTTTTTTATAGAATTTGATTATTATTAATTCTATTTCAGCGCTATTCTATTTTTTCTGGACGATAAGATAAACACAATACAAATGGTGTCAACAAAAGGTATTGGTGAAGGAATACATTGACATAGAAAGCTTAAACATGTTCAAAAATTTGTGTTTTTTCAGAAATTAATTTGAAACTGATAGTCATAATAAATAAAATTTACAAGGGCATAGATAAATTTACGAAGTGCTAAGAATGACAATATCACTTGTATCGGGTAATTATGGAATCGTGGGTAATGTTGCTATAGTAATGATATTGAGATTAGACGCTTAATTGTAATTGTTTATCGTGAATTAGTTAATTATAGAAGTTTCGATGTCATTATTATAATATTATTTAATCTTTCTTATAAGATTATTTATTTATAATTATATAATTTCAAAGTGTTATAATGTTCTGGAGCATGTAATTACATGTACTAACTACTACATGTATATGTACGAGATAAT